TCTCCGTCTTTTCATAATCCAACTCTCTACCGGAGCTTGGTGGGTGCATTACAGTATCTTACTTTCACCAGACCGGATATTCAGTATGCAGTTAATCTTGTCTGTCAACATATGCATGATCCTCATGAGCAGCACTTTCAGGCGGTCAAACGTATTCTCCGTTACATTAAGGGCACACTTCACTATGGTACACATCTCCGTGCTGGTCCCCTTAATCGCCTTAGTTTCCTGGTCTTCCAAGAAACAATCCACTGTGTCTCGATCTTCTGCTGAGTCTGAGTATCGTACTGTTGCCTCTGCGTTGGCTGAATCCGTCTGGTTGGAGAATCTTCTGTCTGAACTTCAAATCAAACTCTCGCATCGCCCGGTCATGTTGTGTGACAATGTTTCTGCTACATATCTAGCTGCAAATCCGGTTAATCATGCTCGCACCAAACATATTGGTCTAGACATTCATTTTGTTCGTGAACGTATTGCTGCTGGTCTTCTTCGGGTCCTTTATATTTCCTCACAATCCCAATTTGCAGATGTTTTCACCAAATCTTTACCTAAAGATAAATTGTATTTGTTTAGAACCAATCTAGGCATGATTACTTCTCCTGCTACGATTGCGGGGGGATGATAGAATATGAAAATAATCGAAACCCTAATTAGGATTTTCTATGTAGACGGTTATGGTTGTTACACTATTGTACTATAAATACCACAATGTATCATGTGAATAACACATACAATAATTCTTTCAATAATTCTTTCAGAAAGAAAAGGGGAGGAATGAGTGAGACTAATAAATCATCACTTGGTTTAAAAAAATTGGATACACAACATACACGAGCCAATTAGTTAGGAGTAAGTTCGTCGTAGAAACTGACATTTCGATTGTTTCAATGAGAACATTATGTGATGGAATAAAATCGACTTCATATGAATCCAAACCAAGAAAAGTATTGGTCCCGTAGGTTTGTGATTTTAGTATGTGTTTTGTCGTGACGGTATCTGATGTTCTATTTCGAAATGCTTTTCTCATTTTCAACAAGCTCTTTCATGTCTTATTTTTCCAAATTATGCCATCTTGTCCATTTATTTATGATTGCTATAGCTAATGACGGGTTGTCGAGGAGGGCATGTAAACACTCATCAATAATAAGTTTTGTTGCAAATTATTAGGAACAACAATAGTTTCGACTAGGAAAAACTTAAGATTCCGTTTAAATTATTTTTTTAGTGTGTATTTTTTGGTGTTGAGAATGTAAAAATAATTTAAAAATATGTAAAGATATGTTGGTAGGGAATATATTAATAAAATTTTTTGAAAAAATACCAACCAAAAAAAAAACTGCTTAAGCTCCACCAAAAAATAAGTTTTTCGATTTTGTACAGATAATATAGTTTTGGCCGTCTGAACGAATTTTCCTAAAATTTATTGTTGAAAAAATAAAAATAAAAAAATTAGCAGAGGCAGCCGCCGTAAGGGTCAGGTTAGAGACTTAGAGATGCATAAAGTCGTTATTATTATTAGCATTATTTTTTTATACAGTAACACTTGGTCCTTGTCTGCCTTTTGTTGGCTGCTTTTTTGAACCAAAAAAGAAGATTATATTAAGAGCAATTTAATATGTTTTTCTTTTCTTAATCTTCACGAACTAAAGTCTCATAATGATTAATTCCTACCAGAAGAACAATGGATGTAGTTGTATTGTATCCTTTTGTTTCATACCTTACCGATAATATATGCTCCTACTAGTGTTATCATTACTATTATTATTCGTATTCTGATTATTTATTTCTGGAAAGCATCTTAATTAATATGATGAATATGATGATTTAAACTCTGCCACTTCTCAGTTTGCACCAAACACAGACTTTGACAAATTCATGTTTTGTTGGGGGTTAACTCATGCAGATTGATAAGTAGCTTGCTTGCTTATAATAATAAAGTTGCCTTCCGTTCCCCCAAAAACTTTATTTATAAAGAGAGATAGTATTTTGTTTTAGAACGGATGGAATATCTCATTCAAAATAATTTGAAGCAAGTTGGGACTCAATAGTTTCTTCAACGCGGGAAATGCCAGATTTTACTCATTAACAATGAATTCTGAATTATTCGGCCGAGTGGATCGATTGATGCAAAATAATTAATTAAATTGCTTAGGTTTGAAGGATTCAGGTCAGAGCTGATTGAGTCTTTAAAGTTTAAACCCCGGCCAAATATCATAACTTATTTGACTCCATCTTTCCTTTCTCAAAATATCAATTTCTTTTGCGTGAAATTCTTCGTGGATCTATATTTGATAATTTGATACTCCATCCGTCCTATAATTATTGTCCAGTTTTACTAAAATGAAAGATTTTATTTTTAGTCAAACTTAACTATATTTTACCTTAAACAACCAGATATACCCCTACATAAGTAATTGTTTAACCACTAAGATTTTACGGATAATATTTTTTTATTAAGGACAAATGTGTAACTTGATCCATAAAAAGTCAAATTAGACAATAATTTTGGGATAAAATTTTTTGGAGAAAGTGGACAATAATTATAGGACGGAGGGAGTATTACTAAACTTTGGTTTGCTATGTAATCAAAAAGTAACAAAATATAAACAACTTAAAAGGACAACATGTTCAACTTAATTAATAGTACACCCAAACCCTAGCAGCCGCCTCTCTCTCCCCTCTCTCTCTCTCAAATCCCAACTCCAAAAAAAAAATTTCTTCCTCCATCTTCTCATTATGGGAGGATGGAGGAATTAAACTTGTTTAATCGTTTTTCGTTTTGTTATTTATCGTTTAATAAGTGAGGCTATTCTCACAAATTAGTTCCTTCAATAGATTATTTAGATAATCTTTTGAGAGGGTAGAGTTTTCTTGTTCGCAGGGTTTTTCAAGTAGATTGTTCCATTGAGAGGTAGGTCCGTTTTGCAGTGTTCATAGCGGTGTTGAAGATGTTCGCAACGTTACATATGCCCCATGAAGAATCAGTCACAGCAGATCTAATATTTAGATATGTGGTTTGGAGTTTTCAACAGCATTTTCGAGATATATTCGAGATCAGATTCAAACCCTGGTATGTGATATGTCCGTCAATTATATGGGTAGATCTGTATAGGTTTATCTACGGTAAACACAATAAAGTGATACATTGTAAGTTGTGTTTGACTGTTTTTTTGTATCAATCATTCGCAGCTGGACGATTTCTAGTAAATGAATGAAAGTACTATTTTATTTTTTTTTAAAAAAAAAGGACAACATGTTCAACCAAGAATTAAAGATGATGAAGGTCCACTATCCTTAGTTGGTTGACTGAAAAGTAAAATTACACACACGAAATGACATTTTCTAGACTTTAATTTAACAACAAGAAAGCTAGCACTACTTGATCAACTTAATAATTTGATTTTTGAAAATACTAAAATAACAATGTTTTTGTGCTTTGACAGTTTTTGGGAAATTACCAATGCTTCAAGATAGCTAGTAACTGCTAACATCATCCATCCATGCCACGCAATAGTCTAATAAGAATTGATTACCAATTAATGTGATGTAAATTTGACCCATTTTCTTTTATTTCAAAACTTAGTTTACTTAGTATAAAGTGGGAAGAAACTTTTATCATTAAAATACTGATACTCCCTCCATCTCAATTCTCAAAGATCAAAAAAGTAGAAGCATGTATTTTATATCATTTTAATTTTACAAACATAACAGTCTTTGTTTTAAGGAGGGCGTGAATTATGGCTACAAATGCACACGTTTGTTTACAGAGATGAAAGAAAGAAAAAGAAAAGCGGGCCTAAGTCAGCTGTTAAGTGTCATAATCCGGTGGTCGGAGGATGGCCGAAAAGTAGAAATCGGAAAAACGCCGGAATTTAGGGTTTGGGAAAGAAGAAGAAGAAGTTTTAGATTGATTCTAAATTTTTCGATAATGCAATTACAACCCCTGATAGACTAAATTATAATCCGCAAGTTACAGAAAATATTAATATGTCCCTAAACTTTCTAATCCTTACGATTTAGTCCTATAATTTAATCTAGGGCATGACATCAAGATGGGGCAGCTTTCATCAGCCCAAATAATGTGTCTCAAATAAAAGACGTTTGGACCTCGGAGTTTGGATAAGCCCTTTTTTCAAAAAAAGATGGATTAACCCAATTTGGTTTCCAACACCTCGGAAACAAACACGTGCTAGTTTCCATCAGTGGGGCACCCATCCTTCCACCTGGAGGATCAACTTCCAACCACGGTCCTAATTCCTAAATCCACTGGGGGAGGATTTTGGGTTTATGCTGGAACTCTGTCGCAGGTGATTAAAACCCTTCAAATTCATACGGACTTCAGTAGCAGGACTGTGAAGAAGCACCACATTTTGCCAAAGTGTTTATCGGTTTCCGATCACTGTATAGACGTTGGAGTGGTTGTAAGTGATCTTTTTGGCTCTTGTTAGGTTTTGAAGGGTATCCCATAAAACTGTGTTTTTGAGTGTTTGAAATGTGTGGGATTTATTTCCTTATCTTCTTAAATGAAAACCTTATGTGCGGGATTGATTTCTGACTTTCTGTTGCATGGAGCTTCAGAAAGCATCATTTTTTCTCACTGTTTATTGTTTATGAAACAACCCCTTTATCAATTCTCCCGGATGTATTTGCATTTGAATTAATTTCCAACTTTGAGATTGTAGTGCTACCTTCATTAAGTGATTGCTTTGTATTAAGGCTCAAAAATGAAGCGTTTGTCCACAAATAGTTTTTTTTTTCTCTTTTCATATACCAGGTATTTATCTACCTTGACCCTTCATCCTCTCAACAAATGGTGTAACCTGAATCTAGCCATATTTCTTACTGAGCAGTCCACTGTGAATTGTGATCAGAATTTAGTTTTCTTGCATTAGATGGATACGTGTTGTTTGTGATTCTGATCAATTGAAGAGAAAAACTATCAAATTATCGGCATTAAATCCAAATTCTTTATTCTCCGTTTGCAGTTTTGGATTTGGATTATGGAATGTCATGTAATTAGTACTTCTTTGTTGCCACTCTTTAAAAGGTGAACATTTTCTTCAATATTTTTGCTTATATTTTAGCCAACATTTTGCTTCAACCGGACCATCTCTATACTTATATGTTACAAATTCTGATTTTCCCCGCTTTTTCTTGGCAAATTAGAGACTTAAAGACTAAAAGTAGAGTTCCTACGGATAATGTTGGATGGGACTTGAACAAACGTCTTCCCGAGTTGGTAAAACTGAATCAAAGTTCCTTTAGTAAATACACTAGAAGGAAATGTTACTGGAAGATACATTGTATTCCTAGTCTGGAAGAAGAATTTTCTGCACTGCAGTCACAGAAGTTCTCAAATGATGAAGAGTATGATTTGGGAGACTCATCAGATGAGGAAAATTCCACTAGACCTTTGAGTGCTGATGAGGTGAGGTTGCAATTTCCTCCGAAATTCTAGCAGCTACTGATTAACTATTTCTCATGTCATTAAGTTTTAATGTTTTATCAAGCTCTGTACAAGCTGATTTATCAGTATTTAGTTGGTTTCAACAGTTGATTCAGACTTTCTCACACAATTTTTTCTGTGGTCAATTATCAGTTAAAAGCTTTGCTTATTGATTCCGAAAGATCAGATCTGTTGAAGAAACTGAGTGACGCCAATCAAAACAATCGATTGCTTAAGCGACAGGTTTGATACTACTGTTACTGATTTATCTTTCTTCATATCAGCAGCATAACTTCTTGTTAGTGGAACTACTTGCCTGCAAAAGATGTATTGGAGAGACAGAATGTGTAGTTTTAGCTTGCATTCACAAAATTTTGCAGTCTAAAACTTAACATAGTGATCTTTCTTGTATTTTGAAATAGTGAATGGTTGAAGTATGTATTTGCTAATTTCTTAAAGATTAACAAAAAGAGGGACTATCATTAGTAGAGGTAGTATGAACGACAGAACAAACAACTGAAGGCATGGTAGGAAAACATTATTGATATTTTTACTTTTCTTATCATGCACACTAGAAGCAGGAGGTACTTAGTTATTTATGAAAGTTTCTTATAGGTCCTTTAGGCGGACTTGTTCCTTTCAACATGTGGTTTAGCTTTCACTCTTAGTGAATGGGTGTTTATTTCGATCATTACCATGGTAGTTTCTGCTTATTAAAATGTCATCTATGGTCTACCAGAATCGGATTTCAAGGCAAAAACGTTTTCTTTGTTTAAATGAAGGATATCGTAGTTCTGTATGACCATTGCTACAGACGTGGACTGCAATAAAAGAATGACAATTTTCTTTGAGCCCAACTGTTTGTTTCATTATCTAAATCATTATTGCAACACCTCTGCAGCTCCAAGTCAAAGAAGATGCATTGGTTGACTTGAAGAGTGAAGTAGCTGCTGTTCAATCGGAGATTCAGGTTTATCTTGTTTTCATTTTGCCTCTTCATTTATTCTTAAAAGTTGTATACTTAGTATTTCAGTTCAGAGTTGTGAAGTCTGATATTCAGTTCAGAGTTGTTGTCCATAATGAAATGACCCTGTGTAGAGCAACATCAGATGCTCCTTTGTATGTGAGAGTACAACTGAATTTACACTTGGTTTCATTTGCAGGCTTTGGTCAACTTAGCCGAAGAGATTTCCAAGTATAGTATCCCTGAAGGTTCTAGGAAGATAAATGGGAAATATATACAATCTTGCCTCTTTACTAGACTGGAAGGTAATTCCACCATACTTTCTCAAACCAACATGTTCACACCTTTTTTTGGTGGGATGTTTTAAGTGTATTTCTGATCACCTAGATAACTTTGTCTCAGGTTAGGCGTCCTATTATTACCTGCGATTCTTGGGATTAGATTTCTCTGTTCTTTTAGCCTGTAGTTATCTTTTCGATTGGGCTTGCAAATCAGCCTGTTTGTAATTCTATCGCAATTTTCCTGCATAGACTCCGGAAATCTGAGATGTAGTCTATGTCTCTCTATTGAGCTTAAAACTATAGTATGCTTTGACCCTGATCAGTTTCTGCTCTATGAAAAGCTGCACAAGAGAAACTGAAGGAACTGACAAAGGATATTGATGCTGTTCAATCCAAAGAGGTTTCTGTCTTCTGGTATGGAATGGCTGAGGTGAGTTGGCAAAGGACCTTGCTACACCATGAATTCATGCAAGATATCTGAGTTGTCCATCCTTTATGAACTTCAATCTCAAATTACTTAAATTTCAGCTGAGTTCGTACTTCGTCTGCTCAATCTTGGTTGTTCTGAGGCTTATTTTTTACTTATTCATTAAACCGAAAGGAAAAAAGTTGAACAACGAAACTTCATTTTTGACAGAGCGTTCAAGTGATGGGTTCTTTTGACAACTGGAATCAAGGTGAAGAGCTATCGCAAGAGTATACTGGTTATCAGACGCAGTTCTCCACTACCCTAATGCTCAGACCTGGAAGGTACCAATTGTATTTTGTTTCTGGAGTGGCTCAAGGTTTGTTTCATTCTGTAATTGACAGCATTCCCTTCATTCTGTAATTGACAACATTCTTTCACTCATTTATGAAGGTATGAGATCAAATTCTTGGTAGATGGGGAATGGATGTTATCGCCAGAATACCCTACGGTTGGAGAGGGCTTGATGCAGAACAACTTACTAGTTGTGGGATAGTTGAGTGTAGTAAATCAGGTAATAAAAACTCGCGAAGTCACAGCTTGATTACCACGAAGGTATGAGATAGATAACCTGAGTAGCAATATCATCTATCTCACTGTATATGATCTTTCTCTTCCCTGGAACTTCCCCCTGCCTATCATGCTTTTGATGGCTCTGTATAGCTACAATAACCATATAGTTAAGCATACCTGGATACTTGTTGCATAAAAAATCCCGAATCCGGCACATTTCATTGCTAAATATAATTATAGCGTAGACTTTGGAGTCATTAGTCAGCAAGTCAATGTCTGAGAGATTTAGTAACTTGATTCTCTTTAGATTTAACCCTTATGGCAAATGAATTGTGTCATAAGAAGCTAGCACCTACCCTAGATGAGCCTCCCACGCATGTAGTCTTCTGTCACTTCCTAAAGGAAAATTTCATTGGTTTAAAAGTGGCTTTGAAGTTTGAACCATAGATTTAGTGCTATGTTTAGAGCATCTGCACTCCAAGGAAGATACCAAATCAGTGCACTATTTAGTACAATGAATAGTGTTATACATCAAATATGGTGTAAATTGTCAACTGCATTATCTTTTGTGCACTATATTTTATTTTGATTTAATTACATATTTGCTATATAGTTAAACTTATAAAATGAATTATGTTGTGAAAATTATATCATATGAAATATTTTCTTGAGATCTACAAAATAAGACTCATATTGAATATAAAAATTTATTTTTAAAATGAAATTTATTTTTAGTCATTATTAAAATTGAATATGAAAAAAAAAGAAGAAGAATTTCATATTTCTAGAATCGAATAAAAAACGATTTACAAATTAACTATACCAAATTGTAAGATTTTAATCAACCACTAAAATAAAATTTAAACTAAAAACATTTAATGTTTAAACCTTTTGGTGTATTAAGGTGGGAGTGCAAAGAATTTTGGTGTAAAAAATATTATCTCCATTCCAAAATAAGTGTCATTCTAGAGTTTTCACACAGTTTAAGAAAACATTAAATATGGTAGCTAAATTACTAAAATATCCTCAACCAACCCCCTTAAAATAAATGCTTATCAATAATATTATTTCTTTTGAGGGTATGTTTAGAAATTTTTGAGAAAAAATACATTAGAATCTGAAAACGACATTTATTTTGAAACTTTCCTATTTTGCTAAAACGATACTTATTTTGGAATGGAGGAAGTATTTGAATTTTTTTATTTTTACATTAAATTTAGTGTAAATTATAATGTAATGGTTGCCAATGCTCTTACACGCACTCTGATAACGGCAGTATACAGGAAACACTCAGGTTGTCTATGCATAATTGGTTACTGAATTCTATTGTAGCCTGGCGATCCAATGGCAAATTTATGAAGGTATCGTGCTATGCTGACGGCATATGGCCGCCCAGATGAAGTCAATACATTCTTTTAACTTGTCATCACCATCAGTCACCTTTTTTTTTTTTCATTTTTTTCCCCGAAATCAGGGGCCATAATAAACTTGCTCTGTCTGTTCCAAAAATAACTTTAGTTGGAGTCTGCTGTCCACGAAATGTTTTAATTTAAGTCCGGAGGCTCTTGCCTCCTTTTAATGTACCGGAAAAAAAAACAAATAATTGGGAATAAATCCATACCAAACTAGAGATAATCCTGGTATGTGATGCACGCAATGTCAGCCTCAAAGCCTAATCAATTTTTAAAGGGTGTTTGTTTGTAATGGTTGGGAAACGAGAAGAATTTTAGTGAATATTTATCAACGTCACAGTTCCTGCTTATGACTTAACAAATTTGGATGGAACTGAGAGCCTACATCGATAAAAATTATAAAGTGTGTCTGCTTTGTAAAAATTCCATAAATTGAAATTTGTAGTATAAAAACTGCTTCGTAAAATTAACCCAAGCTGACAAGGAGGGAGGATTTCTCAGTGATGGAAATTGAATTCGACCAGCAAGGCCAACTGGCTAAATGATCATAACCGCATCAATTTGCTAGCATCTAGAAATTACCGATATTTGAAGTTAAAACTAGGAATTACTCACAAAAATGATTGCAACTCAACAGCTGTACAAAAACATGAAAGCAAAGGAGGGAAAAAAAAAAAAAAAAAAGAAACATCAAATGGCATCAAATCCCGCAATTTTTTTCACTTAAACCTGAAATACTACAGTACGCAGTTCATTTTAAAACTATTACTACTGTACATTCATATGTTTTTACCTGTTACAATTTAAATGCAACTCGAATAATTTTATATTAGAACTAAAAATGGAAATGGAATTAAAAACATTATCATACGATAACAATGATATTGAGTGGTTAAAGCAGCATGATTGAAATTTATTATTGCATCTATGAAACTGTTGAGTAAAATGAGTAGTGTGAAATTAGTTTTGGAGCGATTCGTGTGCAATTATAATTCCGTAAGTAAAAGATATGAGTATGATCGAGGTAAATTTTCATTGTTACTTTTTATTTTTTAAAAATGAAAATGATGCCTACCTAAAAATGGTTGTTTCCCATAGCCAAATAGGATACAAGTGATTACGGCAAATTATATTGAGTAACGGTGCTAATAATTTAGGTAGTACCGGGCTGGCCAGGCGAACGCTGAACGCATTTGCTCAGTGCTCTTTTCTTTTTGAAAAAAAATTTTATTTTTGTATTTTAATTTTTTTAACCTTATAAAATATTTTTTAAATGTAATTTCAATCATTTTTACACATGCAATTAATATATTAGGATTTAATGTGTGATGTAACATGAATAATTTTTAAAATTTTATAATTCAATTAGACTAGGGTCTCGTAAAATATTTCTTATTCGGTTTAAATTTTTTTAATTCAATTAGGCTAAGGTAATTCAATTAGGCTAGGGTCTAATTGAATTAAAAAAGTTTAAACCGAATAAAAAACATAATGTGTTTAGTGTTTAGGGTTTAGGTGGGTTTAAACATTTTAATTAAGTTAGGGTCTAGTTATTAGTGTTTAAGTTGGAATTTAAAAATAATTAAATTAAAAAAATTAAAAAAAAGAGGCAAAAAAGGGGGGTGAGACTAAAGTTAAAAAAGTAGAGGTGGAAATGAAAGTTTAGAATATAATGTGGACTGTATTTTGATTGGGCAGACTAAGTTAAAAAAGATTATATACTTCTTCAATGTACATACTGTGTTTTTCTGACTTCTATTTTTCAATCCTACTTTCTTCTTCTCTTTATAAAAACCTGGGAGCACTATTTTGCGACAAAGAACATCCTCCCTCCATTCCTCTCTTAGTTAATTACTTCCCTCACCCGACATCTTTCTTTCCAATCTCTCACCTTAATTGATTCGATCCTTAATCTCTTGCAGAAAACAATCAACACAAATCACACACCTTCTTTGCATGGTTTCATCCGTTGGAGTTTTTATGCTGTCTCTCCTTTCTTCTCCCACTCGTTCTGTCCCTTCTGCAAAGGAATCCCATTCCCTTGCTCCTTTCTTTCCTCATTTAACTTCCCACTTTGTCCGTAGCTGCAAATCTGCCTGGTTTTATCGCTGCATTGGCCTTGACCCTTAAAAACCCTCTCCCATCTTCCTCACATTCATAGACCCAAAAATTAATCTTGGGTATATTATAGATGGAAAAGGTTCTGAAGAAAAGTAATTCTGACAAGGGGCTGATGCAGAAGCCCGGAAAGAATGGAAATACTAATAGGTTTCTGGTGACGGTTAATGTTCTAGGAAGTGCAGGGCCAATAAGGTTTGTGGCCAATGAAGGCGACTCTGTTTCGGAAGTGATCGATGCAGCTCTGAAACTGTACGGCCGCGAGCAGCGCCTGCCGCAGCTTGGTTCTGATGTTAACAGTTTCCTTCTTTATCCTGCCAATGCTGGTTTAGATGGTAAAAATAAAACTAACAAAACTACCCTCCTCTGTTTTCCTCTGTTCTGAGTTTTTTTTTTGGTAAAAATTCTTGATTGATATATTTGCTCTTTGATTGGGTTAATTTACAGCTCTGAAACCATCAGAATCAGTAAAATCAAGTGGAATGAGGAACTTTATACTTTGCAAGAAGGAAGGGATTCCCCAGATGAAAGAATCCAAGTCAGAGATCATTGCCAGAAAGAGAGGCAACAGTTTGAAGGCATGGCTGAACAAGTCCCTTACTTTCAAGATATCATCTCACTGATCCTCCACACATTATATATACTATGGAGAGAGTTTCAGTTTACTGCTAATCCTCTTGGGATTATCATTGTGTTTGTTATTATGGAGTCTTGTACTCATTCTGTGTTAAGAGCTGCCAAAGTGTTAACTTTCAACTCTTCCACAGTTGCACTTGTCTTCCTTCATCAGATTGGTATTAGTATATTCTGTGTTACGGGTATGTATGGACAGCGTCTTAAATCCAAAAATATTGAAGGAAATATTTAAACAGATCAACTACTGCAAATTTGACCATTAAGAATGGCAGGGGGCAAAATAAGCCCTGCTGTTAGCATAAATGTTAGGTATCATTCACTTGATTTAATATGTAAGATTCTAAAACATGATTATAAAAAGACGGTATAGAGAATGAGTACCAATTAGAAAATACCTCCCCGGGAAAGAGATTTTGCATGGTTTGGCATACAGGAGATGCAATCTTTGTGTTGAGAATTTGGCAGTTTGTTTAATAACAAATTAAATTCAGAACTCTCTGGTTAGGTTTTTTTTGTCCAAATCCGTGGTTGAAGTCTTATTTTAATAAGCCGTTGGATCTCGTCGTCTTGACGTGAGACGGACAGAGACATAAAAGGAGACATTCCGGACGGCGTTTATTGTAGTAACATATAAGCATTTGGTTAAGTACTGGGGAAGGTAGGAAACAGGTTCCCTTTCCCCTTATTAAGCCCTTGAGTTGAGGCTTTATTTGGGGGAATAAGTATAATATAATGGCTTTGTTAAAGCAGAGGCCCGCGTTGAATTAACTCTAAGATCATCATCATCAACAATGCATTCGTACACATTGATTTGATGGTGAAAGCATCGTTTATTCTCGAACAAATACTACTTGGTTCGAATTCGAATTAATCGGAGCAATGACTTCGGACACATGGTGCGTAATATCCTAAATAATAATAATAATAATTGGTGTTTTTTTTTTCGGGTCTAAATATGTAGGTATACAAAAATTAAGTCCAAAGATTGTATAAAGAATAACTTCGAAACTCAAAAAATATGGAGGAAAGGTTTGCTAGTTTATCATCAAAGCCATGAAGAATAAAACCGCAATAGGATTCTTACTGCTATAACAATTCTTCTTTCTGTACAGTAAATAAGCAGGCAATTTGTTCTGATGCAACCGTTCATGCTAAAGAAAAACAAATTATTATGTGTATATTACAGGTTCATTGATTCGCTGATTACAAGGTTTTATTGTACCTACCTGAATTCACATCTAATGGAAACACTACAAACAAGACTAGAAAGCACACATGATATTCACATATTTATTTGCCAATTTCTGGCATCTCAGTGATGATCATGGACATCATTCTTCACCGTTCAGCGACCGACACCAATGCTGCTGTATGTCACCAGAAGCTCGGAAGAGGAACTAAAAGTAGGAAGTGGATCGTACGTTGGGACCGGCATTTTGGGTGGAAGTTTAGGAAGTGGAGCCTCAAAGTTTAGAACTTGAATTGCTTGCCTTATGGATGGCCTCAGGCTTGGATTTGGATGAGCACACCACAGACCTACAATCAACAAGCATTCCACCTGTTTAACATCAAAATCATTGTGCAACTTCTCATCCACAAATGATGTTAGTTTCCCCATTCCATACAGATCCCAAACATATTCCAACAGCCCTATTTCAGAATCTTCATCTATCAGCATTCGGTCTATCGACTTTCTACCTGTGACAATCTCTAAAGCGACAACACCAAAGCTGTAGACGTCAGATTCCTTACTGGCTCTCCCTGTGCTTATGTATTCAGGGGCTAAGTAACCAAATGTTCCGGCTAATCCTGTGGTCCGGGGGCTTAGTTCGTGGTCCATGAATCGAGCCAGGCCGAAATCACCTAGCTTGACATTGAAACTTGAATCCAGCATAATGTTGCTTGATTTGATATCCCTATGAACCACGCATTGTTCCCATTCTTCATGAAGATAGAGCAGCACAGACGCCAAGCCGTTTGCGATTTTGTATCTCAGCACTCATCCAAGATGAGTCCTCTTGCCAAACAAATGTGAATCAAGACTCCCGTTTGGCATGTATTCATACACAAGTAAGAATTCACCGTCATCATGGCACCAGCCTATGAGTTGCACCAGATTCCGGTGTCGCAAACTACTAATGATCTTGACCTCAGTAATATATTATTTTTTCCCCTGTTTTGAACTCTTGGAAAACTTCTTGACAGCCACAGAAATATTCATATCCAGGAGGTCACCTTTGTAAACGTCTCCACATCCTCCTTCTCCTAACTTTCTTTCTTGTGAGAAATTATTAGTAGCCAAAACAAGATCCCTGTAAGAAAACTTTCTCGGGCCTGCTCCCCTTTCCAAATCGTCATTGACAGATGAAGTCAGGTTGACCCTCTCCTGGTTCTTGCTGGATCGTTTTCTACATTTCCTTAAAACTAAGATCATCATCAAAACCCCCGCCCCAATTATAGCTACTCCAGCTATTGATACGCCGGCGATGAATCCATGGCTCCATTTCTTGCTACCATTTGAACGTTTTATGTCAAGATCCGACGTCAACTCCCACGAATAAAGAAAATGATATTCGACATACATCCCCGTGGCAGCTGAAAAAACAACCATTGCCCATTCAGGAAGGACCTCTTTCAAATCTACCTGATGAGAAAGACTGGAATTCGGGTTCGATCCATAACTCCAATAAACGCTGAGATTTTTCATGGAAGAATTGTAAATAATCCAGGCATCACCATTCTCTGAACTATGCAAGCTAGCATTCCAGGGAGCCGTCACTCTGGAAGCGATCGAATTAACGTTGATACCGACATGCTCATAATTAGGATCCCATTCGGGATCTACAAATGAGTCAAATTCAACAGATACGATCTGGTTCTGGGAGGAACAACTGTTGGTCGTGTTGAATAGTCCCAAGAAACCGCCACCTGAATTCGGAGGGATTTGGAAATCAACAGGGGCGAGAAAGAAGGCAAGCCCATGGCCATACTTTGCAACACCTTGTGTGTTGATTGAGAAAGTGAAATGAGTAGTAAAATCAACAAGTTTCCCATTGTGTGGATCCCAGATGGTAAAAGGATCTGAATAGATAGCTTGACCGACCCTGTATAAATAATCAACCTTATTGAACTGAATAGATCCGACAGTTGTTACCGCATCTCCTCTACAAACTACATCGGCTAAATCAGGCGTAAAACGGTATATCTGGAAAGAAACTGCATTAACAACTGAAGGAAGCGTGAGGAAACAAGCAATGAATCTGCTTAATCGATAGCAGAAAGAAGCAGCCATGTCAATAATGAACAAACTCAAGTGCTGAGACAATCTGATTAAATTTAAGGATCAAGAATCAACAGCTAATGAAGTTTCTCCTAATACAATTAAATTTATGCATTTGTTTGACCTGTTTGCGCAGAAATTTCGCTTTCATGGAAAATGAAAGGAATGATATGAAGTCATAAAATTACGTTATCCGAAGCTGACGTTTAAAGTAAACAGGGTTTACTCCCAGCGCATTGGTACAAGTACTACATTGACTTATGAAAACATGATGATAAATAGTACTAAGAATGTGTAAACTACCAAATGGATGTAGCTGCTTTTACATCAGTGTCACTTTCCAGTCCACCCCCATATAATACCTCAACTCCGAAGACTCATACTGCCCGATAATCACAAACTGAAAAATGATTGGTTTGATGTCAATAACTAAACTCGTTCAAGTAATGAATCAGGGAAGTTGTGGGTTTAATTGTCAGTACATGTTGACACTATCTGATGACTATTCTTTCACTCAGTCTAACATCCTTGCGTCTTATTGAGGAAAAAGAAAAACTTTGTCCAAAAAAAAAAGAGAATAGAATGTTCATCTGAGTCCAAATGACAACTGATTCAAATTGTTTGTTTATTTTGCTCTTAAAGGACACCAATCAGTGATCCCAGTCAAGTGTCCAGGCACTTGGCAGGCAGATCTCTGGGCATCAATTTCAGAAGTGTAGGCTGAGGATTGGAAATGGGCATTAATGGATTATCTTATCAATTCATTTTAATCGTCCATTGTTGAAATGTCTTGAAATGAGATGGGAGAGTAATTTTTGGGGACTGTGAAATTGTTGTACCAGTAAGTGGCAACCTGATAACATTCAAACACCTATATATTGATCCATTGCATTATTTATGTGACACGAATAATTTAAAAACATCAACAAATTTGTTATGATGATCGTTTTTCTTGACATTTCAACGACCAACATCAATACTGCTGTAAGTTACGAAAGGCTCTGAAGAGGAACTGAAAGCTGGTGCTTCATAAGTTGGGACCGGCATTCTGGCTGGAAGTTTAGGAAGTGGTGCCTCAAAATTCAGCACTTGAATTGCTTGCCTTATAGATGGCCTGAGTGTAGGATTTGGATAAGCACACCAAAGTCCTACTGTCAACAAGCACTCCACTTGTTTTATATTGAAGTCGTCTTTCAATCTTTCATCCACAACTGATGCAAGTTTCTCCATTCCATACAAATCCCACACATACTCCAACAGCCCTATTTCAGAATCCTCATCTTTAGGAATACGATTTGTTGATTTTCTCCCGCTGACAAACTCTAAGGCCACGATGCCAAAGCTGTACACATCGGATTCCTTACTAGCCCTCCCGGTGCTAATGTATTCAGGAGCCAAGTAACCGAATGTCCCAGCCAATCCGGTGGTTTGGGGCCCTAATTCATGATCCATGAACCGAGCCAGGCCAAAATCACCGAGCTTGACATTAAAACTCGAATCTAGCATTATGTTGCTAGATTTGATGTCCCTATGCACCACGCATTGTTCCCATCCTTCATGAAGATAGAGCAAAGCTGATGCCAGACCGATTGCGATTTTGTATCTCAAACCCCATCCAAGGGCATGCCTCTTGCCAAAGAGATGAGCATCAAGGCTCCCATTTGGCATGTATTCATACACAAGCAAGAACTCACCATCATCATGGCA